GTCCCTTCCAGCCCTGATGTCTATGAAATCTATGAAATACCTGTAGAGTTCTACCCTTCATTCTCTCAGGAGTTATTCTCCGCTGAATTGGGGGAAGTTACCCAAGCTTAAAGGTCTGTGTCATCTATGCATTACTTTTTCACCCTGGTGTAGTCAGTAACATTACTGTAAATGTTTCATCTGTCCATGATCTGTGTTTGCAAAACAGGCATAAAATCATATAAATATGGTTTAAGGCCATAAGTTCAATGTTTCATCCACGAATTGGACTTTGTTGTGTTAGTAAAAAAGGTCCACCTCTGTAGACAAATTGTGCTGTTGTATCTGTGAAATAAGGGATTATTGTTTTCCTAATTCATTAATTAAGCTGGGTGCCTTGTTGGTGTCACCAATCTTAATTCAATATTTGAGAGTGGTCAGCCAAGAGAGAGACCAACATATGGACTGGGGCAGGCTAGAAAACCATTGGAGAAGTATGAGGAAAGGGAAGCTAAATTTAAAGAAATAGCATGTAAAAGGATGATTTAATAATTAGAAATAATCACAGCTACTTTAGTACTTGTTGACCTGCATTCATACAGGATTAGGATAGTTATGTTTTTTAAATTTAGCCATCTGGTTATGAAAAACTGAACCCTAATAGCACACTTGCAGTATAACTAAAAGGTGTTTCAACACCTAATTACAAATCTTTATAGTAGAGTTTGTCCCATCTACAAAGGCAACCATATTAGAGGAACCTTTAGAACCCTGAGATTATTAGATGTTAATGGCATCCAGAAGATTCACTGGTGCTTTATCTTCACATGATATGCAATAGAGGGTAGTTTGGTCAAATTAATTTATCCTAAATCTGAAGCCAGGCAGTGTTCACTTTTCCCAAAAGGACCTATTCCTGTATCCATTTAATAGCTCTATAAATAGAAAGTAAAACTTCCTATAAATAGAAAGTAAATTCATTGGAATGAAATTGAGGCTATTTGCATGCTTAAGTGCCTGCAGAAGCATCTACATGAGACGCTACAGTGCAGTAGCAACTGTAGCTGCACCGCAGCTCGTTCCTACAGTGCCACAGCATTGCCGGGCACAAACCATGATGGCAACACTACTGTGCAGTAGTGTCTAAAAATAACCGTGCGGAGACAGGACTGCACAGTAATGTCGGTTACTGTGCAGTCATTTAGTACTTGGTTAAGCAAGTACTAAATGACTATGCAGTAACAACTGTGCAATCCACCACACATGTAGACAACACCCTGCTTAACCTAAGCCCCAAAGGAAAAGGGACTTAATAATTATTTAGGTGGATATCCAAAATACTCTGTCCTGATGTGTGCACATTTGAATGTATGTTTGTATGAAATGCAGGCACTGTCCTGTATTGTCAGTAAGCTGAGCAGAAACACAGCTGTTCCTTAAACTGTGAATTATTTGGATAAAGATTGTCTTTTTTTCCCATGCTTGTATAGTGCTTGACACAACGGATCCTGATGCAATGCAAATAGCATTAACAGTACATTTTGCTCAATTTCACTAAGAAAAGATAAACTAATTTCCTTCTCGTTATGTCTTCCATGTGCTCTTTAGAGTGTTGAGCTTTCTCCATTTTTCTCTGTAAAACACATGAGTAAGAACAGAGTTAACTAGCTGCAGCCTCCTCTGATATAAAGATGTGGCTGTCAACAACTGTTCTAAGCTCTGAACTGCCTGTTCTGTTTAACACCAGAGAAATTATTCTTCTTGCACTCCCAGGCAAGCAATTTCCCCATTTAACTAAGGCGATCAACTTTTGACAACATGCTGGTGATAAAGCAAAACTCTCTCTTTTTGCAAACAAGAGACAAAGAAAAAGAATTAGATGTGTGTAATTTTCTCAGGGCTTCTTCATTATGTAAACCAAAGGTCAGAATAATTTTGGGGTGTTTTTTATGGGGCTTGCCTAGAAATTGGAAAGGCTGAAAAATTATTTTCCTAATCTCTGCTAATCAATAATTTTATATCAAATACATTTTCTTGAGGCAGATGGTTGCTGATTTACAAAAGACAGGATAAAGCCGCAGAGACTCATCAGGTTTGTTCCCTCATTTCCTCAAGAATAACATCCCCAAAGATGGAGACTGAATTTGGGATTGTAAATTGTGCTCCTGAGTCATGGTTGGAGCCAAAGCTGGCAGCATTGCAGAAACAGCAGATTCTGTCCTGGGGCAAAGGAATCCTCACATCACTGAAGAATTCTGACCATTCCACTAGTGTGGAAACTCACACTCACCGGGAGACCAACCTGACTTCATGCCCTCCTCCCATGAAAATGTCCTTACCCAATGTGCAAAAAGCAAGGATTTTTGTGGGTGATATCTTTTATTGGATCAATCACATGGTTAGGATAGTTTCATAGTAGTTAGGGTCAGGAGGGACCTGAACAGATCATCTAGCCTGACCCCCTGCCACAGGCAGGAATGAATGCTGGGTTCACAAGACCCCAGAAAGGTGATCATCCAACCTCCTCTTGAATTTGCCCAAGGTAGGGGCGAGGACCACTTCCCTGGATACATATAGACAAGCTATTGAATGCAGTTCAATCTTCTTCAGGTCTCATCTACTCTTATGTTCATGAACAAAAGAGCTACAATACATACCCTACACTGACTGAAGATTAAACTGGTTCACAGTGGGCATGTCTACACATTCATTAATACACCATAATTATGGTGCATTGAGTTTAGTACCTGTAATTCCAGGTACTAAACTCAATGCACTGTCATCGGCGCTACTGTACATTAGTGCCGACAAATGTTTTTTATGTAATGCTAATGCGAAGTAGAGTAATTCTACTGTGCATTAGTATGGTTTTTGCTAGCTATGCTAATGTGCAGTAGAACTACTCAACTGCAATGTTAGCATCTCATGTAGACGTGCCCAGATAGGAGTGGCACCATCAGTCATTTTCCCCATTCTTTGAAAAAATATTTTGAAATCTTGCTGTTTTGCCCAGGGCAATGGGTGAATTGAACACAACAACGATAGTCTTAATAACAAATTACTATATGTTAACATATGAATTAGACTGAAAGAAAGCTCTGTATAAAGGGAAGATTTCAAAAGATTGTTCAGTTTTACATGAGAAGATTGTTCAGTTTTATAAGTGAAATAACTGGGGAATATGAGAAAGAAATAAGGACAAGTGAATGGTAGAGAGAAGGCAAAGCCTATCTGCCCTTTCTCATTATGCAAGATGTCACAGGCGGAGAAAGACTGAGGAAATTCCCAAGCTCATGGAGGGAACCCCAGAGACAGAGACAGAGGGCAGAGCGGAGGGAAAAGAAAAGGGAAAAAATAAATGACTCACCGCAGGATGCGAGGAGGAGCAGGAACGGCCGGAGAAGCCCGCGCACGGCCGGGGCAACGCCTCAAGTCACCTGCGGACGGCGGGTGATGTCATCACTAATCACCGGCCGGCGGCGATAAAAGAGCCGACCATGGCGAGGAGCAGGGGGCGCACGTGGCTGCCGGGAGAAAGCCGGGCCGGTGGAGTCGGCTGGAGGCGCGGAACACTGGAGCCGACCGCCGGCGTGTACAGCGGAGGAGGAAAAGAGCCCGGGGACAAAATGACGCCCAAGGGCAAC